CCATCTATATGAATATATATATCCACTTATACCCCCCAACATCTGTCTCTCTCTCTCCATCTATATAAATATATATATATCCATATATATATATATATTCACTTATATCCCCCAACCTCCACAGGTAAGCTGCTGAGGCTTTTATTTCCTTCATTCTACATTTTTACTATTAACTTGGTCAACAGAAGTGCCGGGGACCTCCTAATGATGGTGCAGTAGTGGAGAGCACATAGGGACCTTCACCCCAGCAGCAGTGGACAGCAAACCCAGATTAGGAAGAAGCACTGTGTTTTCCAGTTAACATAAGGAGCTTGGACCATGAGCCTGAGCTGGAAGGAGCTGAGGATCTCTTAGCACCAACAACCTAGAAATTAATCAGCTCAGAAAATTAGGAGCAGAGAAAGCATCTGCCCAGGCAGGGGCTGGGACCATGACTTGGGCACAGTGCCTTGGATGACAGAAATTGAGTCAACAACGGGCCTTGCTGATTGGATGAGGGTTAAGGAGGACAGTGGTCTCCACGTGCTGAGCAATCAAACCAAGTTAAATGTTCATTGCTCTTTCCATGGCACTGAGAAGGGACCCTCACAGCTCTGGGCTGAGAGACCTTGCAGGGCACTGGAATGTAGAGGCCAAGGCCATCTGAGATGAGCATGACACCCCTTCCTCTGGGTAGTCTGGCTGGGCGGGCACCCCCAAACCCAGGCTGCTTTCCTCCCCGCCTCCAGCCTCAGGATGCCTCAGAATCCCCTCTAGACCCCTCTTCCTTTCCTGAGGACTGAAGGCCTGAGAGTTAGCTGTCAGTTCCCCAGTGCCAGGCCAGCACACCTTCAATTCATGTTTCTCCTGTTAATAATTGACTATGAGGGCCAGGGATTTAGCTCAGGAGCACGGCACCTGCCTCAAAAGCACAAGGTCCTGAGTTCGATCCCCAGTACCAAAAAAAATAATGATAATAATAATAATAATAGACTATGAATTTGATCTTGGTCATGGGCTGAAGGGATGACCTACAGAAATGTCACAATCATATGCGTATTTCAAAAGAAAGACAAAAAAAAATTTTTAATTACAAACAACAAACCAAGACCAAGACTGAGTAGGGAAAAGCATATACAGGACCTCACACAGGAACTGTAAGAGATTAAGAAATTCTTAAATGGGATCCAGTAAAATGAATGTCTTGAAAACAAGGTGCCTTCAGGATAAACAGTGCAGTCACACCTTCCTGCTTTTATTCAAGCTGTTCTCTCCACTCTTATCAAGGATCATTCCTACTCCCCTTCTGTTGGCATCCTCATTCTATACTTCTTTAGAGAAGCATTCCTGGCTTTTCCAATTGCAGCTTTCTACTCCCTCCTATCCACCTCAACACCACCCTTGGGACTGTGACTTCAAGGACAATGGATATAATGACTTTGGGTTTAAGGGGAGATTCCTGGTGTCTTGGAGGTGTGTCTTGTAGTAGGCACACAGCTCTTTGGAAGACGAAAGATGTCAGGGTAATAGGGCACATGGCCATGGCCACACCTTCTGGCCCATGAGGCCTTTGACCCTTTAGTTCCATTCCCCTGCCAGACTCACCTTTCCCAGCCCCACCAGGCTTTGACCATTAAGTGGTGGCAAAGGTAACTTTTGAGAGAGACTGGCAGGACAGAAAGTGGAGACAGCAGTAGAAGAGGATGTTTGTGGTGCTATAAGTAAGAGCAGAAAAATGGGGGAACAGCTAGAGGAGAAAGTGAATCAGGGGTTGTTTTATGGTGTCCCATTTATGTACTTATTTATTTAATGGTTTTTTAAGATAAGGTCTCACTATGTAGTTCAGACTGGCCTTGAACTCACTATGTATCCCAGACTGACCTTGAATTTGCACCAACCTTCCTGCCTTAGTCTCCCAAATGCTGGGATTACAAACATGCATTGCTACACCCAGCTCTGGTGTTGCTTTTAGAAGGGAGGTACTTGCAGTTGATGATAGGCATACAAAAACTTGAAGTGCAAAAGAAACAGTTCCAAAGAAGTAGAAAGGGACTTGAGTCTGGTGTCCCTGACCTGGGACTCATGGTCTTAGGTCCAGGTCTCAGATCAGGGACTAAGATGAAACAAATAGGCTAATTGTTATGGTATATGCCTATAATCCAACCATTCTGAGAGGCTGAAGCAGGAGGATCACAAATTCACACCCATCTTGGTCAGCTTAATGAGACCCTATCTCAAAATAAAAAATAAAGGACTAGGAATGTAATTCAGTTGTAGAGTACTTGCCTAGAATGCACACGGTCCTGGGTTTAATCCCAAGGAAAAAAAGGAAGGAAGGAAGGAAGGAAGGAAGGAAGGAAGGAAGGAAGGAAGGAAGGAAGGAAGGGAGGGAGGGAGGGAGGGAGACAGGGAGGGAGGGAGGAAGGAAAGAGAGAGAGAGAAAAGGAAAGGGCTAGGATACAATTCAATGTGAAGGCTCTGTGTTCAATCCCCAGTAACCCCTTCCCAAGTACCCAAAAAAAGAAAAAAGAAAGACATCTGTTCAGGATAATAGGAAAGATACCCCACAGGCATCTCAGTCTCCGGATGCATCCCCCTCCTCTTACTGAATGAGAGGTCTAAAAGTGCTCCCTAGGCTCCTTGGACAGGGCCACCCTCAGATTTTAACTTCTGACCATGTTACCAATCAGTTGGGGGTTCTTTTGCTCCATTCAGTTGGAACTCATAAATCTGCAAAGTCCAGCTCTACTAGTGGCTCTAATACCACTGGATGACACCTGATAATGCTAGATGAGACTGCAGATGCTGGTCTCTGTCTTTATTGGCTGCTGGTCTCTGGATCTCTTCAGGGTTGATATCCCTTGGTGTTTATTGCTCTTTCTTTGAAATGACTTGTTTGTCCACACTATTCAGGATGAAAATCCTGAGTAGATGTATAGGTCCTTCAGAGCCCAGACTTTCCAAGAAATAAATCACAAGCAAATTTACAGGACCACCAGATGGAGTCTTCATTTTAACAAGACCTGTGGGACAGCACAGGAGGGTCAGTACACCAGAGGAAGCCTGGAAAACTATCTAGAGAGGTGTGAGGGGAATACTGCTTACATAGCACCTGCAGGCCTGTGATTGGTTCAAATTCAGTCATGCTGATCCTTCCAGATTCAGGCCTATGGTTAGTTCAAGTGAAGTGGGTCTCCAGGACAACTGTCATGGCAGACTCAGTGAGAGGACAGGACATCAGCTCTTGGATTGACAGCTCTCAGTCTCTAAGGAAAAATGGCCAGGGAAGAAAGAAGAAAGAAAGAAAGAAAGAAAGAAAGAAAGAAAGAAAGAAAGAAAGAAAGAAAGAAAGAAAGAAAGAAAGAAAGAAAGAAAGGAAGG